ACACCAGCTGCGGTCATGTCTGGGCATGGTAAGGTTAACCTTAGCTAGCTTGTATGCCAATTAGAAACGGCCGTTGGACCAACAACACAACACACACAGCTAAGAAAAGTTCAACAATGGCCAACGTTTTAGTGCTGCTGGGATGGTAGCAGTTACTAACCTCTCAAACTTCTCATGTAGGTCTTTTACAGCGCAAGGCCAACGTTGTGTAGCACTTTTTGTCGGTGATAATGCCCTGTAATATCTTGCGCGTACAGGTTCGCTGGTGTCCTTTTGGTTTGTCATGCTCATTTGCCTCGAAGTCAAAGTATTTCCACACACTTTCACCGTCACCTTCTCACACCGTAGCTCTGAACAGTAGCCAGGAGACGGTTAACGTTAACGATAATTAGCTGCACCTGTCGCTGTACCTGTAGCTAGTAGGTAACGAGCAGCACACTGCACTGAGTTTTTGGGCTAACACTGACACATACACCCTGCAGCCCCCCCCCCCCCCCAATTTCTGTTTCTTCTTCACCATATCCGGTCTTTCTACTACATATTTCCTGCATGTTTAACTTTTGATAGTGTTCATTAAGTCAGATACTTAGTTATATAATATGTGTCCCATTTTTATCCGATTATTAAGTCCTCATTTCTACGTATTGTTACACTTATTCTCGCAACACCACTTCAATTATGCATTAAATCTAAATGTCTTTTGTCTGTGTTCTTGATTTTTCATAAAGAATAAGCATCTCCACTCTTTTTAATTTTAATATTTACACTGTGCAACTAGACCAGTTTCTCCACCCTCATTACCCAGAATACTAGTGTGAGCTAGGACCCACATGAATGTGACCTGTGTGCTTTGCTTAACTTACTACTCTTTTACTTACCATTATAAATCCTTTTGATGCACCAGATACTTAGATACTGATCACCTATAATCCTTTCGTTAGAAAGCAAAAACTGACAAGCACAGCCTGTAATTGGCAAACAAAATATCAGTGCCATGACTGACTGATCACATTACAACGATGAAGTTACCTTCCAAGAAAACTATGAAGATTGGTACCTCTGTTTTGTAGCTACAAATTACAAGTTTGATCAGACATTTATTACTTCAAACAGAGCATTATTGGCTGTTGAATACAAATTAAAATTTTAAAACTTTGCTGAAGTGCTGCTAATGCTTTTGACAAATATATTGTGTGCTTCAGCTCTTTCAAGAGCTCTTCATTTGAAAATAACTGATGTATCACAAATCTCCGCTTTTATATTACTGGTACTTCACTACAACAGATTCTCTAAAACCACAGCAAAGCCATTCAACAATAACATTCCTCTTCACAAGGTATAGATCTGTGGGTCAATAGTTTTGTGATCAGCAAATAAACACTGCATGTCACAAGACTGTCATACGATACTAAATTTTTAGTGCAGATATATATGCCGAACTACATGATGCAAGCCCACTTCACACAATCTATTTGTTCATATTTCATAGTAAAAAGTTTAAATCATTAGCTGTTAGCTTCGAGACAAGGTTTCTTGAGAGGAGGAAATTACTGTAACTGATATTTCGAAATCATGGCTCACGAAAAACCCACAACACTACACTGAATTAAAGCAATTAAATGCCATATACATACAGGCACATAATAAATGACTGTTTTCTGCATTCCGATTTAGGTTAAAAATAAACTAGGTCCTAGTCAAATTTTATTTATTAATATAGCCCAAAATTTCAGTCTGTGACGTGAAGTCACACACTATTCTATGGGCGCACAGGGATTACTTTTCCCTCATGCTGCTCTATATGAGGTCATCTTTTACTCTGGTATGCAGAGGGGTAATATTTCTCCCTTTCTGTCAAACTGGCTCCCCTGAATTCCTTTAAAAGGACCTCATTCCATCAGCCTGTTTTTGTTGGATGTCATGTTGTTACAACTTCAAGGAAAGGACATTATCACAAAGTCTAGCTACAAACCACAGAAAAGTTTTGAATCATTTCTATCGCTGAAGACTGTGGTGTTATTCTAATGTCCTTGGCTGTGCTGAGTATCTACATCCTGGGCACAAAGCCCAAATGGTGTTTCTGTGATGTAATCCTGACCAGTGACTTGTTAAACAAACACACAGCTTTCAGTGTTTCTCCTCTAAATACTGATTTCAGTTTGTTGAGACCAAACTGTACCAGCAGTGTCTGCCACTTTGCTTATGAGCCTTGCAAACGGTAGTTTTTAGTAAAAAGCAGTGACAACCTCTCCTTTAATTATGCTCAAGATAAATATTACCCCATTCTTTTGTGCAGACCACATCAACACAAACTACACAGCATGTCAGGAATGTAATCCTATAGCCCTATATATGGTAAAAACATATATGTTCTGTATTGATAACAGGCTGTTTACAGACTGTACTTGAGTTATGTTTCCATTTGGCTTGGTTTGATTTGACTTTAAGTTGAGGTTTAAACTGACTACTATAAACTACAAGAAAAGCCCAATGTTCAATGCAATAGGCTTAAAATGTAGAGAAGTGAAACTCTCATAAATGCTAATAACTAAACTTGAGGGTCAAATTAACCGCTGTTTGTGGGATTACATGATGTGAGATTTCACAAACTGTTCCTGAAGTAAATGTAAATCTGCAAATGTCAAACTATCAGACAAGACATTTTTGTTAGTGTGAGATGAATAATCTTCTGCTTGACTGTACCAAAAACATGAATTGCATTTTGCATTCCATTTGCCCTTTTGCAGTTTCACTGACTAAACCATGCATATACCTTCATGCTTCGACATTTCAGCTTATTAGCTGCAAACAAACTTCGCACTACACTAAAAATTGGGGCAGCTAAAAAGTGGGGATAAACAAAAGAGGACAGATCATGGCTCCACCCAGGGGTGAATAATGGTTTCCTCCCTCAAAATAAGAGCTGTGTTGAGATTTCTGCAACAGCCACAGTTCATACTTCCTTTGCCTCTGTCTGCTCTGGCTGGAGGTATGAGCAACAGTTTGGCCCTGAATCCACTTCACAGAACCAAAAAGCAGTGATCTTACAGAGACTTCTCAATACTGATTTGCTGAGTGCTGGTGTTATCCAGACACCATTTCAAACAACTTTAAACTTGCTATTCAAGAGTCACAGGGTGTCGTTACAATTTCTCAAGACAACACCTTTTAGTAGCTCTGGGAGTGCACGCTTTTCAGTCCACTCTGGGATTTCCTGTCTGGCATTTGTTATGTGGTCACACTTTCCCTTACCTTAACTTTGCTGTGACCAACCAGTGATTACAAGCTAAAAACTGTTTTCCCATTCTGAAACACAGCAGTGGTGCTCCTGGTGTCTCACTTTTAGGACAATTTGATACCAGAGCAACAAGAAACATCACCTAAGCAAACAACTGAGGTGTTAGTAAAGTCATTAGCAGTCCATTTCATTGTCTGCAATCAGTCTAATTTGGCTCAGTCATTTCCTACAAAAACAGAAACGCTAGCAAATTGCTCCTTTTTGATTTCCTTGTTTGGTAACAGTGGCTGTGATTAAACTTTTGACCAATCCCACCAATAAACAAACAATCATAGTTAAGCCATAATAAAAAGCAACTTTACTTATAACCAATCATATGTTGTGCAGAGGTGATGTCATCCAGAAAGTTCAACAGCAGCCAAGCTTTCCACGCTGACAAACATGAAAAAAAAGAAACCATGATCAACACCAGCCAAGTTTTTTGTCTTTGGTCATGGAAAATTTACTTTCAACCACTGGTCCCTACTGCTTCAGATAGTGTGTAAACAGTTACATGCACGTAACATATTCTTTAATAAAGTTTAGATTTACAGTTTTACATTCCACTCAAGACAGTGAATACAAGACTGTGGCTACAGTTTACCAAATAAGCCTATTACAGATTTGTATGCTCTTGGGAATAAGAGACACTGTTTGGGAGTACTGCAATAGTTGAAGAAATTAGTTACAGTACAGCATTAGCTGTCAAGCACAAGTGATTGTTCCACACACAAATCTTACATAGCACCACCACCACCACCACCACCACAACCACCACCACACCTCCCAAATCTTGTGATGTCATTTCCAAGCAAAGGATGGCATGTAGGAATGACTTTATGGCACTAGAGCGGCAATGATTGAGACTCTGGGTTATAAATAAGCACACTCTTCACTCTATATATGTTATTCCGGTAGGTCAAGCCAATGGAGTTGCTGTAAATGGAATGAATGTTGTTGTAGTTTTCAGTTGTTATCTAATAGACACTGTCCTGTGAATTTCATTTCTTGTGCTGATAATACTCTTCACGCTGACCAAGGATAAGTTTTATCAATAACATACATGTGCACAGTTCATAAAACCACCTCAGACCACACGGACATCAAACTTTGCAATGAGTCATCCAGTAACTGAACTTTGTCTTTGTGTACATATTAAAATACATATTGAAGCCCACTTGTCACAACAACAATGCTCTTTAAAGAACTAGTAGGAGATGTATCGACAGGAAAAATCACATGATGCACTGAGTGCTTTGAAAAGTAAAGCACTCAGTGAAACACTATCTCTTTTTCTCAACTCCAACAGCTATTAGCTGCTCTGTATTAGGATACATTAAATAGTAATAACAACACATCAATAACTATTTCAGCCTCATCCTGCACTAGGCAGAGATGTTCTGTATTGACAACAGGCTGTTTACTAACTGTACTTGAGTTATGTTTCCATTTGGCTTGGTTTGATTTGACTTCACGTAAAGATTTTAACTGACTACTACAAACTATAATAAAAACCCAATGTTCAATGCAATAGGCCTAAAAAAGCAGTTTTTACATGGAGTAAAATGTAGAGAAGTGAAACTCATAAAATTGGAGTAATGCAACTTTCTCATTCTAACTAAAGTTGAGGGTCAAATTAACCGCTGTTTGTGGGATTAAATGATGTGACAGTTCACTGGACAATGCTTCCATGCAACAGCACTGAGCCATTCTGTGTACCTACCAGCTTTTTGTTTTTACCCTCATCCTCATTGGACTTCTTTTTAGAGGGTTTATTTGGGTCCTCCCCACCGCTGGCTTGATCCATTTCAGCTTCAAGTTAGTTCCCCTCCTGAAAGACTGAATGTGACTTCTTCAAAAGTTGGGAAACTCCACCAGCACGATGTTAACAACACTTATGCAGCAAAACATCCAGGTTAGGTCTTTTCAAAATCCATTCCGTTTAAAGATAAAGTATAAATTCAAATTGGCCGGTTCCAAATAGTTCCCGCTGGTATCCAGCAGTTGAAAAGGCTGCTCAAAGAAGAAGAGGTGTGGTAGGATATGGTCTCCGTCCTGATGTCTCCTCAGCTCAGCTGTGAGCGAGTTCAAACCGCGGTGGAAAGCTTTCTGAAAATACCATAACATTATGTCAACAACAATTATTTAGTCCATCATAATGTCTTTGGTGTTAACTTGCACAACTGTTTGCCTTAACACGTGTCTCCCTGTGCAGCAGTGTTAGTATGCAGAGTGCAAACACATTGACACAAGCCAGCATATTGTGAGCGTTAAAACAGATGTAAACAAACACGTCAGATATAGCTATAGACAGCTCCATAAAAAAAATTAAACCAATGTGTCTCCCACTTATAGACAGAGCCCTGTGTTTGGAAACGGGCTAAATTGTTACAGAGAGCAAACTTACGATCGTGTAAGTTAGCAATAACATAGTAGTAACCGACAAAAACCGCTTCATGTCAACCAGGAGGCAATGACAGTTTTCAGTGTGCACTGACAAGGCGGTTATCTGCCCGACAAAACAGTCATTAATCAGAATTAATGAGCAGTTGTTGTAGTAGTGGAAAATCACCGTTGTTCTCTGTGCTTGAATACTTTGCAGTGCTGTGCACTTGGCCAGGCTAGCATTAATAGACGACCGTTACCAGGCGAACATTCTTTATTTTAACAGACACACTATTACACAAGCACATATAATACAAGTCTATAAATTACAAAGTGAACAATAAATAACATGTCAAAGAAAACTCACAAAATCCCATCCAGGGCTTACCTTTGCAACCAAACCTGAATGCCAGGCCCACGATGATTCCGCCCACCAAGTTTCAGATTGGCCTGTGAGATACGTAAGGAGTGGGGACTCCAGCTGCCATTGGTCAGATTATCTGACAGTCATAACTGCGGCGTGGCGTTGAAGGGGAGGAGACTGTTATGACGACGAGGTCAGTCTGATTTCACAGCAAACGGATAGGATTCAGCCAGTTGTAAGAATAGATCTATGACTGAATTATGAAGGGATGACCGCGGAAACAGGGCGGGAATCTGCGGCAACAAAGCACACCCTGTGTGTGTGTGTGTGTGTGTGTGTGTGTGTGTGTGTGTGTGTGTGTGTGTGTGTGTGTGTGTGTAACCCCCCTAAAATGGTACATTTACATTTAAATACTGCAGATTTTGTTTGGATTAAACAAATGAGATTGGGGTGGAGCTAGTTGTTTCCCTCTGATACCAGTCTTTGTACTAAACCAAACTGCTCACAGTAGCTTCATACACAGACATGACTGACATTTATCTTCCCATCTGACTCTAAGCAAGGAGGCAATTAAGGTTATTTCCCAAAATGTCAATCAATTTCGTACTTTATCAAGGTACATTTCAAATATTTAGTGGTTATAGCTTCTCAAAATTTGATGCTTTTCTCTTTTTTATATTGGGGTAAATTTAACATCTTTTGGCTTTGGACTATTGGTTGAACAAATCAAGCAATTTGAAGACATCCCTTTGTGCTCTGAGAAATTGCGATTGGTATTATACACTATTTTCTGACATTGTATAGAGTAAACAAACACAAAGAAATTTAAGTAATTAATTCTTATAAATTATGCAGTAATCAGCAGTTGTATCCCTAATGAGTTATCTCTGAGGTGATATTTCAACTCTGAGAGTGATCGAGATGTCATAATAGGAATAAAGTTACTGAAGCATATAAGAGTTTATTCCCACAGTTTGCAGCGGCAGTTTTCGCTAGCTGGTCTGTTGATAAATGAGCCTCACTTTTTCTTTGAGGTCAATTATTTTCAAATGTAGAATAAAAACACAGAGCTCCTCTTCACTGAAACTTGAAGTTAATTACTGGTAATCATACAATTTCTTCATTAAAGGAGAGACATATGTAATGTGCATTTCAAAAAGTCATATAGAATTAGAAGCTTGTATGCCAGTGATGGCAAAATATTAAGCTGCGCACAGTCTTATATTTACAGAATTGTTGCCCCCTGAATGTCCTGATGTTGACTGGAGTTTGCTGCATTTTGCATGGCGACAGCACCCATATGGGACACTAATTACTTAAAATAATTCCTAAGTACCAAAATTCACAGGAGAATCTCAATACTATGGTCAATACTATAGGTTCAGTTTACCATTAGATTTTTTTTGTCTTCATCAGGGCCAGAGTACCAATGGTCCACTCAGCAGCATTAGTTTTGGGGAAATGATTGGGGTTTAACATCCCTGGCTGAGCAATAGTCTAACTCTGTGACTGATGAAGACACTGAAAGAGTGTGTGTCCTTGTCAATGAGGTGATAAACCTGGTGATAAACAATCAAAAAGTACAATTTTAGCCCGTGGTTGGGAAGACAGACAAAATGATTTGTCACTGCTGACTATGTGCACATTTATCTGATTGGTCCAAAGACACCAGCGAAGTAATCGTTCAACCTTCCTGTTGTGTTCAAATCAATACTGATAAATTTTCAGCTTTAGACTGAAATAAATGTCTTTTCTTCCATCTGATCACCATGAAGTGTCATGACACCCTTCACATTAGATATGCAAACATATAATGATGGCTACATTAAAAAAATATTTATTACATATATCAACTTTTCCACAACTCAAAACATATTAAGATCTCACATCCAGTTAAAATTACATGCAAAATTTCCTTTGCTCTTAAAATCGTACTTTTCCAATCAAGAAAACCAAACATCAGAACAAAAACATTACATGTGTTAGTTCTGGGAACAAACACAATATTTTATCCAAGCACAACATTACCAAACACTCTGGTGGTAGTTTTGGTCTATAAATAAAGCTTCTCTCTGTTGCTCACATGTCGTTCTGTGGCATGTGACCACAATGTGCAAACAAAAATACTGTGACCAGGAATCAACTAATTTTAAAACAAGACAAGAGTGTACAGGCTCTCTCGTGATCACAGAGGCTGCAAAACCTCACTGTAAAGAAAGTCAAACTGTTTTATAGACAAACTAAAAAGTAATTTGATGCTAGATGAAAAGTCTGGGGAACAAAGTTCACAAACACGATCAATGTCTACATTGTCATGCATGGTAAACATTTAACAGTTGTTGAGACACTTCATTTTGAATAAAACAATTGCGTCATCCTCCATGCGGCTGGGGCGGGCCGGGCGCGCGGCGGCGCGGTCACAAAAACCATTATGATTCATCCTCTAGGTAACATCAAAGTCAGGTACGTTCAAAGTCATTAGGATTCATTGTATGGTCACCACTAATATCATACCTAAATTCATGGAGACAGATTCCATTAGTTGTTGAGATACTGAATTAAATACGTCAAAGTCATGGTGATACTTGAAGAAAAGTCATGATCACCAAAGACATCAGTATTCATCGTACAGGCACAGTGAATAATTGCACAAAATTGCTGGCATCTAATAGTAGCTGAGGTATTTCAGCCCAAACCAACCATCCAACCAACATTGCCATACTTAGAGCCACACCACTAGCATAGCTAAAACAGATGATGAAGAGGACCTTGTACCACATATACATGTAAACAAGTGACAGGCTGTTGGCTTGCAGTGTTATTCTGTGCCATCTTAGACATATCAGGCCAGGGCCTTTGTGGTGTGGAGGGAAATCAACCCAGCTTCGAAACCAAGGAACGTACCATGACAGCAACTTCCACACACTTGCCAGCTTGGTGAGGGATACAGGATGAGGGAAGGGCTCCTCCTAAAAAGAAATATAAACAAAAAAGAAAATGGCAGCATAACAAGAATTGTATAACAAGAGTTGTGGAAAACAGCATCATGTGACACATGTAAAATGTTCATTTGCAAGGCATATGCTTGTGTAAATGAGTACCCACAAAGACATGCAAACAAACAACTCACCCGCACACCTGCTGCCATAATACAAAATAGGAAATGGCAGTAGATGTAGACAAATTGGCCTCTTCAATTAAAGTTCAATTAAAGATTTTTATAGGAAAATGTTCCTATAAAAATAGTATGTTTTCTTTATCAATAAAATCATTTGTCGTCTTCGTTTGACTGAAGACAAAACAGGTGTTGATATGATGTAAAACTATAAACTTTGGATCACTTTTTGTATATTGTTTATTTCAGTCTACCAAACAAACTGTACTACATGGTTAAATTTAAAGTCAATGAGATAAGTTTCATTACTTCTTAGTTAAAATTATATTTACTCCATGTCCGTTCTATTGAAGGAGGGGAGACCTGAAGGTTGAATTTTGGTATAATTTTTGGTTTTAAAAATGATTTTCTACAATATAGTGTATAGCAATAACGTTGGCAACTTACTTATGCAGATGCAATTGTTTATGACAAAACAGACGTAACTAAATGTATGTATGTGAGTTATTTAGAACAGCAATTGTGCTTTGAGATAAGGAATATGTTAGAATTAGTCTATACAGATTAGTTGTTGGTGTACTGATTCTGTCAGATCACTTTAAACATGCCAGGCATTTCACTCTGTGTATTTCACTTTCATCTGTTTTACATTATGTGTGAGTCCAGCTGCTTGAAAGCAGCTCCAAACATTTTATTAGGTCATTCAGGAAGAAACTGCAGCAAAGCACTGCTGCAGTTTGGGAATGAGACCATGAGACAGAACAAGAGACGCCTGTTCAATTCAATAAAAGACCACCACAAAAACACATACTGCATATCATTAAAAAAAAAAATTCTAAAATCCTGTTTTTACATTATTTTTTATTTCAGCATAAGGCTGCAGCATAACAAAATGTGAAAAAATTGAAGGGGTCTGACTCCTTTCTGAATGCACCTTATATACACATATAATACAGGTTTTTTTTAAACAAAACAAAACAAAACAAATTAATCTCAGAGTATCATGACCACAATCATCACAATAGTAGCATTTGTTTGTGCTATACTTTACTTCTAAATTCTTTTAACACATTTGGCAATCCAATCTTAGTCCATGCCACTGATATTTTACTAATGACCCTGGTGATTCTGTGTCTTTTTTCTGGGTAGCTAGTATACACTGGGGTCAACATCCACTTGCAAGCTCTATAATTAAATACATGCAGCTGCTCTGGATGTGGGACATAATTTTCCCAAGAGTCATTTAGCCATTTTGAGCTGACTGGCCCTGACCCTGAAAAAGTAGATGCTCGCTGATAAGAAAAAAAAGTCTGAATGTTTATTCCTTTTCAAAGTATTTCCTTTTGTATAGTAGTGTCCCACTGCTGCACTTGACTTTGCTGAGACGCAACAAATCTGAAGCTATCACCATATGCATTCAAAAGCAGCTGAAGATGGTTGGATTGAAAAGACACCTTGTCAGGATATAGTGTGCACTCTGGCACTTCTGGAAAAACATATCAGTGTAACCGGGGATGTTTTAGCCCAGCAATTATTTAAATCTTTAAATCTCCATTCACATCCTATTTAGCACTTGAGCCAGAAGGTCCTCAGTGAACTTCCCAGCATGCTTTGCACTTGTCTTGTAGAGCCATTCCTTCCCTATTACAGTATTGCAAGACTTAGAAAGATATGAGGCAGTTGAAGGCAGTGATGGCAAAGAGCACTGTGTTTGGACCTGAGAGATGAAAGAGAAATGTAAATTATTCATCGCCCCCCCACTGTACTACAAGGCAGCACCACACTGGTCTGGCAGAGCTCAGTACCAACTTAGCGTAAATTCTACCCTGTCTCTTTACTACTGCTAAACCTGGGTTAGACATACAGTATAGCTTTTAAAGCAGATCCACAATTAGGAACATTCTTTGCTTGTTTTGCTTATCTCTGTTTTGTTTGCTCAGT